CACAGGATCCCCTGTGATTTCCCCTGTTTTATCAAGGCTATTGATGTTTGCTCCTTCCTTTTCTTGGTTACATTTGGCAAGTCATCTGTTGATTCTGTTGATCCTTTGATAGAAACAGCTTTTTGCTGCATTGATTTTTTGCATTGTTCTCTTGTCTTCCCACTTGATTAACTCTGTCTTGATTTTTATTACTGTACATACTTGAGTATAAGCCGACCCGAATATCAGCTGAGGCACCCAATTGTACCACAAAAACTGCATTAAAATGTGCTGAAAAACTCGGTTTATACACGAGTATATACAGATTTGTTTTCTTTTGCTATTGGAGGGGTTGTTCTGTTGACTCTTCTAGTTGCTGGAGGTTTTGTGAAAGCGTATAAATCATAAGCTTCTCTTCCATTTTCATATATGCATCAATCGCTATCAAACTTCTCTGATAACTGCTTTTGCTGTAACCCATAGGTTTTGGTACATTGTGTTCTCATTCTCATTAGTTTCTAGAAACTTCCTAGATCTGGGTCAGTACCCATTCGTGTTGCAGAAGATCATTATTCATCCTCCAGTTGTTTGCCTTGTTTTTCTGGTCATCCTTTTGTTGATCTCCAGCTTTATGGTGTGGTGGTCTGAGAGGGACGTTTGAGTAGTCTCTCTGTTTTTGAATTTACTCAGGCTGACCTTGTATCCCAGCATGTAGTCTATTTTCGAAAATGAGCCATGTGCCCTTGAGAAGAATGTGACTTTTTTTGTGTGCATTTGGATGGATAGCTCTATTAATCTCTGTCAGGTCCATTCGCCTAATTGTAGTGTTTAGCTCTGTAGCCTCCTTGCTGAGCTTCTTTCCCTAGTGGTCTTTCTCTGATAGTGGTGTATTAAAGTCACCTATTATGATTATTGCGTCTGTGATTTCTTTTTCCATCTTTTGAGTTTTTCTCGTTAGGCATGTGTATATTTATTAAGCTCACTGGTTCCTGGTTTACAGATCCTTTGAGCATTATATAATGCACATCCTTGTTTCTTGTTATGGTTTCCACCTTGAAGTCAGTTTTGTTGGAGAATAGGATTGCAACCCCTGCTTTTTCAAAATTGCCGTTTGTCTGGTATATTTGCTGCCAGCCTTTTCTTCTTAGTCTATTTTTGTCTGCCAGTTTAAGTTGTATCTCTTACAGGCAACAGATTGATGGGTTATGTTTTCTGAGCCAGTCTGCTAATCTTTGTCTTTTAATGGGAAAATCCAGGCCATTGACACTCAGTTATTACCACCATCTGTGCATTCATTGCTGTCATCTCGTACCTTTAGTGTTGGTTGTTTTCCTATCTCCCTTCATATTGTTGTGCTATGTTTATGTGAGGGACTTCATTCTTGCCTTCTTTTCCCGCTGAGGCAATGTTATCTTGGTAATTGTTTTCCATGTGCTGACTTCTAGATGAAATTGTTCTATATGGTAGTCTTCTGCTTGCGCTTGGTGGATGTTGGTCTTCTTACCACAGTGAATTAGCAAGGATTTTCCACAGGGTTGGGTGTCGTATGGCATATTCTTTTGAATTTTAGCTTGTCCGGGAAGACTTTTACCTCACCACCTATCTTAATAGATAGATTGGCAGGGTAGAGAATTCTCAGGTTGGTGTTTTTTTTTCTTTCAGCTTTTGGAAGATTTTACTCCATTCTTTCCTATTCTTCATGGTATCTGCTGATAGATAGGTCTGAGCATATTCTTATCTGGGCCCCATTGTATGTGACTTTTTTTTCTCTTGTTGCTTTAAAATTTTCTTTTTCACCTTGAAGTTGGATAATTTAACTATTATGTGCCTTGGTGAATTCTTCCTGGGGTGTCTTCCTAGTCTAATTGGTGTCCTCTCTGCTTCCTATATGAATGCCTAGTCCTCATTCATTAAGGTGCTTCCCTCATATCCTGTATTACTCTAAGCAGCATTCTGATGATTTCTTTTTGTGGCATATCAACATCTGTTGAGCGTCGTTAGGTTCAGGACTTCTTCTGCTGTTGCCTTTTGTTTTTCTTGCTTTCTTGTTGAGGGTGTTGTGGTATATTGCTTTCTATGTGTTGTTTTGGAAGAACTCAGAGCCATGTTCCTGGGAAACCAAGTGACCCTGAGTTCTTTCTCTGTGAGAATGGTTTTTTTTGGGAATATCTGTGGCCTACAGTGGTCATGGGTCAGACTCCTGTGTGAGGTGTTGTGGTGACTCAGTGGATGGCAGCAGTGGGGTCTTTGGAGGGTGAGCTGAGGCTAGCAACTGTAAGTGTGCCCCTGGGCTGGGTTTGGGTGGGCCTGCAATGTGGGCCCGGGCCTGTTCTGGACTTTCTGGCCACTGTTTGCAGACTTTCAGACTCTCTGTGAAGCACCAAACTGGTAGAGCTAGTTTTTGGCTTTGGCTGTGTCTTTCAGCATCTTTTGGCTTTTCCTGTTTTGTTATGTTAAAATCCCAGCCTGTGCTCCAGGGATTAATTTTGCCTGTCTTTTTATGTACAATGCTATGCTAATGATCCAGGTTTCTGGTGGGGTACATTCAAAGGAACACAGCCTGGGATTAAAAGTGCTTTTAAAATTTTTTTCATAATGGGTTTGGGGTTACCCTGGTACCAGGGCTGTGCTGTACTGTCCCCCAGGGAAAGGGGACCAGATTATCAGAGTGAGTTTGGTGCCAACTGGATCTGAATCTTCCTCCAATTGCACTCCTCTGTCACTTGAGGTTTTCTCCTGCACAGCTCTGCAGGCTGTGCTCTGGGATTCTGCATTCCATCATAGGTAAATATCCCAGGGGCTCTTCAATGGCTGCAAATTAGTCTAATTATGTATTGTTACCCATGCAGGCAGGTGTGGAGCTGGGGAGAGGAGAACAGGGGTTAGCCAATGTAGTCACTCCATTCCTGGCTGGGGAGGGGAGATGGAAAGGCTGAGAATGCAGGAGCAGGGAAGATAGCAGAGAGGGGAACTCTGGTATGAGGTCTTGTGGCTAGTTCTTGGATCCTCTCTGAGAGCCTAGGATTATGACCACCTTTAGACAGCAGCCTGGGAAATTACTGCATGCTGTAAGTCTTGGATCTTGGGCATAGGAATGGGTGGTTTATGCCATCCCGCTGGACCTGGCAAGGGATTAGCAGAAACCGAGGGCATAAAAGGTGAATTTAGAGTGCTTCAGCAAGTTGTCTAATTGCTCCGTGGGTGAAATTCGTAGGGGGTGGTCTAAACCAGACCTAGTACACTAAGTCTATTTTTAGCACCCAGCTTCCCAATATTGGCCTCCTTACCTCTTAATTTTATGATCTAACAAATGGAGCACTGGGTGGGTGATGCTACTTGGACATCATCTATTAAGTTTCAACCACTTTAAAAATATTAAAGCTATTTCAAATTGAGAGCAGTCTCAGTTAATATTAGATAATGTAAAAGATTTTCCACAGGTCCTTCTGTTTGGGCTCTTACATATTATCAGTAAAGATGCCATGTGATTTTCCAGAAAGCCTTGGGGCATATGGTTTAGCAAAATATAGTCAGAGCCCGTAAGTCAGTTTTGGCCTAATGTTTGTGCCCTTCTATCTGCTTTATGATTTATTCAGAAAGGGTGTGAACAGCCCTGATGGTGTCTTGCCTATCTTATCTGTGGATTAACTTCTAGATCTACATTTCTAGCTTTACTGGGGAGTAGAGGGGAAATCTTTCATTCCCAGCTACTTTGAGCATTTCTTGGTTTGGGCACTTTCTGGTTTATGTTTTTACATAATTCAGTTATTTCTTGGCATTTCTTTTGTTGATCATTAACATGCTTCTCTCAGGTTAGTTAACAAGTTGTAGCTACCTTTCTATTTCCACAGCTGTTTCCCTTATCTAGATCTTTATAATCATTACACTGAATAGTTACTCTAAAATCAAAGTGACTGCTTATGACTTCTAAGTGCTGTAGCTTGTGTTTTGGATTCCTGATTTTATTCTTTATAACATTTTTATTATAAAGCTTACTTCTTCTTTTTTTTTTTTTAACATTTTATTAGGGGCTCATACAACTGTTATCCCAATCCATACACACATCAATTGTGTAAACCCCCGACATTAGGTCCTCATTTTTCCCCTCCCTCCCCGCTCCCCCCTCCCGCATGAGCCCTTGATAGTTTATAAATGGGTATTTTGTCATATCTTGCCCTGTCCAACGTCTCCCTTCATCCACTTTTCAGTTGTCTGTCCCCCAGGGAGGAGGTCACACACAGTTCCATGTAATCGGTTCCCTCTTTCCTACCCATTCTCCCTTTACCCTCCCTGTTTTGCCACTTACACCACTGGTCCTATAGGGCTCATCCGTCCTGGATTCCCTGTATTTTCAGTTCCTATCTGTACCAGTGTACCTCCTCTGGTCTAGCCAGTCTTGCAGGATAGAATTCGAGTCATGGTAGTGGGAGCAGGGAGGAAACCTTTAGGAACTAGAGGAAGATTGTATTTCTCATCATTGTTACATCGCACCCTGACTGGCTCATATCCTCCCTGAGACCCCTCTGCAAGGGGAAAGCTTACTTCTTTATAAAAATAGCATTGCTTTCATAATTTGATTGGAATCCATTCTGTATGAAATCTTCAACTTTTCATCTTCAGAAGTCTCCATACTAGTCAGTTATTAGCAAATCCCAGGTATGATTATGTCCCTTCTTCCTTCAGAAGATGACAGTGTGTGCCTCCTACCTGTCAGAAACATGCCACCAGACTCTTTCAACCTGACTCTTCTCAAAAATCATCTTCTTGGTCTCAGCTGCTGTCCACAGACCTGTCCTTTGGATTGGCCTCTCTACACTCTTACTTAAAAAATAAGAGGTTTCTTTCGATGTGTGGGGTCTTTTCCCACACACCTGAAAGTCCCTGAGACTTATGAGGGAGGATATTCTTCCTCGTGTGCCTTCATTTTCTGTTTATTGCCCAGTGCACAGGCGAATGCTTTACTCCGAGCTGTAAAGATACATTGAATACAAATGGAAATTGTTTTTATATTTGCAAATAAGGTTTTTGATCTAAGTGCGGAAGGATCATTTACGGCTGAAGACACAATTGATAATATTGATGAAATCCTAGAGAACACTGAGGCATGTATCTGCAAAGAGCTGGAAATGTCTCTGATTGTGAGTGTTGGTAGTCTATTATTGCTTCCTTTCATGCTGTATGGTTTGTCTTGCTATTTGGGAAGTGTTACTAATGTGGGGTTTTTTTTGCTAGTTGGAAAATTGTGACTGGTTTTAGCAGTAATCTTACATATGAAAATTTTATTTTTCCCTAGGGTGGTATTTTAATAGGACATTGGACATTTTAAAAGATCCAATGTTTAATTTTAACAAAATTCCCTTTAATCTGAGTGAATCAGATAATTTGATTCTGATATTGCCATATCCATTGATTAAAAGAAAAGACTCCTTAAAGTTTATAGAATTTTCAGTGGAATCTGTGAGAGCTCTGGGCAGACAAAATTAATTAGTATCCCTCTGTCTCTTGTGTATTGCCATGTCAAGTTTTTGCAAATCCTGTACTGACATGTCAAGTTTTTGTAAACTAGTCATTAAGTTTTCAGTCTGCACAAGTCAATAATCTAAGCATTTTAATGTAAAAAGGTGTCCTGAACATGTCGGCTTTCCTTTTTCTCAACAGTATTTTAACTCTATAACATTGGCTAAATTCTACTAATAGAATTATCATCTACCCCATGAGGATTACTTATAATATTATCTAATAAATTGACCATGCTGTTTCCAAAGTGGCAAAAAAAGTTAAGTGTGCCTTCTCAGAAGAGCATTTTAGGCTTAACATTGCTCATAAGCTCTTTCCCAGCTATTCAGTCTGCTTTTCAAGTGTCTGGGATTATTTTCATTTTATTAACTCTCTATTTTTTGCAATTCTATTTATATTTTCCTGTTAGAATACATTAAGCACTATTGTATTACCCTTTTTGTCAGATATCCCTGCATTAGATGGTTAAACTTGAGTTTAGAAGTGGTTGTTAACAGTTATTTCTGAGTTTTGTCATTCTATATACTGTTTATTATATTTATTATCTTAGTATTCTTCCTTTTTCTTTATTGCTGTACACCAGACAGCATCATGAATAACATTACAAAGGAAGAAATATCTCATGGACATCTTTGATATCTCAATCTCTTCCACCTAGGAAATACTTCTGTTTAAGAAATATTTTTTAAAAATAAAGAATTTGTCAAAAGTATCATCTCTGAAGGCTAATCCTTTGCTGTTGATGTTTGAAATTACTTTGGATACTCCTTTGTGTATAATTCTATGTGTGTGATTTCATTTAGGATCAAGGTGATGCAGACAAGGAGATCATTTTAAATACATATAATCAAGTACTGCAAAGGATTCATTCAGAAGAAAAGCTCATTGCCACAATACAGTCCAAGTACAAGGAGAGTGTTGAGGTGGGATTACATTTTTTCTGATTGGTTTTAAAGTTTGATGCCTCGCATTTTTGACAGATGCATTTTTCTTAAGTAACTTAATACTCTGTGTAGGTAAATTGTTATTTCTAGAGAAAACATTTCTAGAGTATCACTGTTGTTAGTGGTATATGATTAAATTCATCACACAATGGAAAATGGTGACTTTTGTTAAAGTAAATATTTGGACTAAGTCTGAAATTCTTTGACGTTCTTTTGCCCTTTAAAGTATACCTTTAAAAAAGCATAACTTTTATCCTAAATTGTTTCCGCCTTATACAAGTTTATTGGAGAAAATTTGCTGAATACGAAAAGATAAGAAATAAAAACATAATCCTCTTAGCCTAAACATAGTAACTTAGTGTGAGCAAAGTTGACCCTTGAACAGTGCTGGAGCTGGGGTGTCGATCCCTACACACTTGAACACCCATTTAACTTTGACTACCCCACACTTAACACTAATAGTTTGACTGGAGCCGTATCAAGAACATAAACAATTGATGGATACATAGTCTGTATATTCTAAAAGTTTGTGCAAAAATGAAATTAAAAGACAATGGAAGTTTTCCATGACAATTTTGAAGGCCCCATATATGTATTATATATGGCACTCACATAAAAGCTGCATTTTCAGTATGCAATAAAAAGTTATTTCATAAAAAGTGCCAAGTTTTTAATCTGCTGATGTAGCTGCAGTATCAGCACCACAAATTTCCTTTACTCTTTTCTTTTTTTTAACAGTGATTATGATGCTGGATGCATATATCTTGAAATGGTTGGCAGCTGCAGCTGCAGCAGCAGACCTCTAGCTGTAGCACCTCTCAAACAATGTAACTTTCTTGTAATGTTATGACTCGACCCAGCCTCTTGGGGGAGTACTTCAAGCATCATTGGTGGTACTTCATATGGGTCCCGTGGCTCTCTTCAAGGTCTTATTGATGTGGAGGGGATTCAGACCCTTAGCAATCCGATTCAAGGCCGTTAATTGTATGGGATCAGACAGCTTCATCTTTCTTCCAGGGAGTGGCTGGTGGGTTGGAACTGCAGCCCAACACATAACCCACTACACCACCAGGGTTCACTATTTAAGGTCTCCAATATTGTTCTAAACAAGATGGAAAAAAATATGAAAGAACTACAAGAGATCACTTTCTACTGTGGTACAGGATTTACTGGAGAGAGAAAATGCTCATGCAGAGATGATAATGTAATAAGAGGTTTTGAAAAAGAGCCACATATAAATGGAACAAAATCAAGTTGTTCAAGGGTTAAAAAAATGCTACATTTAATTCAAGGGTAACCTGTATTTGCTTTTTGGACTAGTTATTTATATGGGTACATATATTAAATGTTTTCTTCACTTGATATATTGTGAATATCTTCCCATATCGTTCTTCCTACATGTCGTTTTGAGTAGGTAAATTATTATTCCTTATATGATATGTACAATATTACTTAACCTTTCATTTGTGTGGACATTAAGGACACCTCCAGTTATATTTTACCATAAATAACACTGTACACAATATTTGTACACAATTTTGAGTACATTTCCTCAAATTATAATCCTACAATTTAAATCAGTGAGTTAAAAGAATGAATATTAAACTGTGATACCTCTTTGTCAAACTGCTTTTGGGAAAAGTGATTTCAATTCGCATCCTTGTTAGCAATTGTAGTTTAAATCCCAACTGGCAATGCATGCCTACTGTACTTCTTGGTCTGAAGGAGTTGGCTATCTTTGCACTTTGATTTTCTGATATTCGTCTTATTAAAATGGGGAATAATTAAGAAATCAATTGGTAGGATTGTTTTGTTGAAACTGTATTTCACTTTGTTGAAACTGTATTTCACTTTGTAACTCAATAAATAGTTAAATTTTAGTAGAGAAATGATGTGGTTAATAAGTCGACTGATGCCACCTTGACTTTTTAGTAACTTTTTTTTCTCACTTAGTTTAAGAAGCAGATTAGTGAATGGTTAAATAAAAGTCCTAGTGTGGATCACTTGCTGTCCATTAAGAAGACACTGAAAGGCTTAAAAGCTCGACTAAGATGGAAATTGGTTGAGAAGAATAATTTGGAAGAAGTAAGGAAACTGTTCCTACTTAGCGAATATTGCACTTCATTTTATTTAGACTTTTCTTCATAAAAGTAATGCAAAAGTATATTTTTTTAAAGAGAGCTATTATTCATATTGCTTTGTATATTTTATCTTTTTTCCCCTATGCATGTAAATAAGAATTACACTAATAGTGTAACCATTCCCATGTCAGTAAGTATTTTTTTAAAAAACAATTTATATGGCTGCCTTCCTTGGTTTTCAAGTAATATGGGTATTTTAGAATAAATTTTTAGAATCTTTGTTTGGACTTTTATAATGTTATAATTATAACATAAGCTTTCTATACATGCAAATTATTGAGCCCCTGAGTAGTGCAAATGATTAAGCACTCAATTATTAGCTAAAAGGTTAGTGCTTTTAACTCACCTCGAGGCACCTCAGAAAACAGGCCTGGCAGTCCACCCCTGAATGGTCACAAAAACCAGGTAGAGCAGTTACAGTTTACACACATGATGAGTTCACCATGAGTCATTATATGCAAATAATAGGACAATACCTTAAAGCAGTGGTTCTCAACTTGTGAGTAGCGACTCCTTTGGGGGCTGAACGACCGTTTCACCGGGGTCACCCAATTCATAACAGTAGCAAATTACAGTTATGAAGTAGCAGCAAAAATAATTTTATGGTTGGGGAGGGGGTCACCACAACATGAGGAACCTGTATTAAAGGCTTGTGGCATTAGGAAGGTTGAGAACCACTGCTTTAAAGGCAGAATTTTTTCAGATTATTTTTCCCCAACACCGTGATGTCTTTTGCTAACTCATTTTCTTACAAATATTTTAGGTTTTTTTTCATATGATAATAGAACTGAATAAATTAGGATGCTCTAACATGGAGTAATCATCTTTTTTTCATTTGCAACTTTGTAAATAAGCTGGCAGTCATGTTCACTTGAGAATTCATTTAAGTACAGAAGGATCTGTTATATCTTAATCTAATTTGAATTAGCTCTCTTCCTTATTCATGTAGTTAATTGCAGATGAGAGGACTATTTCCGAACTACTTTAATACCCTAAGATTTATCCTATTTTAGGATCGGGGGATGGAATCTCCTATAGTTTGATTTTCACTTTTTGGAGAATTTCATCTGATTTTAAAAGCATATATATGTACTTTTAAAGATAAATTTTTTTTTTATCACATTGAAGTTCTATGGAATTTTGGTGATTATTGTCTTTCTTGTGGTAGATATTCTACTTATTTGCTTACCTTTTCCTTTTTTAAAATCAAATCTTAAATAGAAAATTGTTTCAAGAACTTCAGTTGTATTTTATTTAGGCTTGTCTTAAATTTACTTTATGATGGGTATTGGTTATTTTTGGCCTGTAGAAAATCTTCTGAAAATTAGGACACCAAAAAGAGCTAGGTGATTTATTTCATGTCTTTGTTTTTAACATTTAGTTTTTGTACATTTTGGAAGAATCATGTGAGAATAACCTGATCTATACAGAATTCAACAAGGGCTAATGGTTCTGTTCTGTTTTGTTTCAGCAAACAAAACAAAGCAAACCAACTGCCCCTGAGTTTATAGAACCAGACTAGAACTACTCCTCTTAGGTTGTTCCCTACTCTCCCTCCCCAATTGAACACTTTCTACAAATATATTTCAGTGCCATTGATTATACTCCTTTATGAAACCATTACTGATATCCTTTTCCAAATCAC